TTCTTCTTGTAACTGAATTCTAGTTTCATTCCATAGTTGTCAGAGAGCACTCTTGATTCAGTCTTTTTTAATATATTGAGACCTGTTTTGTGGGCGAGTATGTGGCCCGTCCTGGAAAACGTTTCATGTGTGCTTGAAAAGAATGTATATTATGCCGCTTTGGGAAGAAATGCTCTAAAAATATCAGTTAAATCAGTCTGATCTAATGTGTCATTTAAGGCCACTGTTTCCTTGTTGATTTTCTGTCTGAATCATCTATCCATTGATGTCAATGGAGTTCAAGTCCCCTGCAATTATTGTATTACTGTTAAACACTCTCTTTATGTCTTTCAATATTTACTTTAGTAGGTTCTTCTGTTTTGTGTGCATAAATGTTTACTTCTTGTTGCATTGATCTTTTTATCATTATGAATTGTCCTTCTTTGTCCCTTGTTATATCCTTTGTTTTAAAGTCTATTTTGTTCAATGTAAGTATTACTACCCAAACTTTTTGTTTTGTTTTGTTTCCATATGCATGAAATATATATTTTTTATTCCTTTATATTCACTGTCTGACTATCTTTTGATCTGATGTGGGTCACTTGTAGACAGTATGTATTTGGGTCTTGCTTTTAATGCATTCAGCCACCTTGTGTCTTTTGATTGGAGCATTTAATACATTTACATTTAAAGTAATTATTGATAATATATAGTGATTGCTATTTTATTGTATTCTGATTATTTTTGTAGATCTCTGTTTCTTTCATATTTACTCAGTTCCTTCTCTTATATATTGATGTGTTTCTATAGTGTTGTATTTGGATTCTTTTCTCTTTATTTTTTTGTATGTATCTTGTAGACTTTTGGTTTGTTTATATTGTGTTTACCATGGGCCTTATATATCAGAACTATGTTTATAGCAGTCTATTTCAAATGCATGGTTGCTTAAGTTTGAACATATTCTAAAATCACTACCATTTTTACTCACCTTCTCTACATTTATGTTTTGTTAATTTTTACTTCTTTTGTGGTGTGTGTTTGCATGTATTCCTTACTTTACTGTTGTAATTACACATGACCTTCCTACTTTTGTCTTTTGACCTTTGCACTAGCTTTATAATTGATTGATCCATTGCTTTTATTGTTTGTCCTTAGCATTGAGTTTTTTTCTTTCCTCTATTTCTTATTTATATACATTTACATATATATATTTACTTTAAGAGGTTTCTTTAACATTTCTTGTAATACTACTAGTTGAGTGGCGTTGAACACCTTTAGCTTTTTCTTGTCTCAGAAGCTCTTTACCTCCTCCTTGCTTCTAAATGATGGGCTTTCCTAGGTAGAGTAATCTTGGTTGTAGTTTTTTCTCATTTATCACTTTGAATATTTTATGCCATTCCCTTGTTACTTTCAAAGTTCCTGTTGAAAAAGTCAGCTGGTAGTCTTTTGGGAGCTTCCTTTTATGTAACCAGCTGCCTCTCTCTTGCTACTTTTAAGAGTCTCTTTTTATATTTAACATTTGGCATTTTATTTTTAATGTCTTGATATTGACCTTATTGAGTTTATTGTTTTGGGGACTCTGCATTCTCTGAACTTGTATTTCTGTTTCCTTCACCAGGTTATAGAATTTTTCAGTCATTATTTTTTCAGATGTTTTCAGTTCCTTGACCTTTCTCTTCTCATTCTAGCATTCCTATGATGGATGTTGGTACACTTGATGTTATCCCAGAGATCCTTAAACTCTTCTCATTTTTTAAAATTCTTTTTCCTTTTTGTTGTTCTCGTTGGGTGTTTTCTGCTACTTTGTCTTATAGATTGCCAATTTGATTGTTTGTTTCATCTAATCTGATATTGATTCCCTCTAATAAATTCTTTCAGTTATTATATTCATCAGTTCTGATTGGTTCTTTATGTTTTTTGTTGCCCTTTTTGTGTTTTTTTTTTATCACTTTGTCGAAGTTCTTACTGAGTTTATATATTCTCTCAAGTTTATATATTCAATACCACTGTTTTGAACTTTGCACCTGATAGATGTTTGCCTTTATTTTGTTATTTATTTTTTTTCTGGAGTTTTGTCCTGTTCTTATATGTGGAATATGTTTCATTGTCTCTTCATTTTGTCTGACTCCATGTGCTTGTTTTACTGTATTAGTTTGGTCCCCTTCATTTCTAGCTTGACAGAGTGGCTACATGTAGAAAGTGTCTTCTGGGACTCTGGTGCCATTACCCTAGTCATCTGAGCCAGGTACTACAGGGGTGTCACCTCTGGGATTTCTGTGTGCCTTCCTGTTGTAATGGCTTCGATTGCTTCTGGCAGGTCATTGGGGGAAATTTATACTTAGACTTACTGGCTGTGATGGCTGGCAGTAACTACAGTGGACGAGCTGTGTTGTGAGAACGGATTCCATGGTGCTTTGGTGCCAGCTGAGGCCGCCTTTTGGATGTGTTGGTTGTGGAGCTGGTTAGATGGGGCTCTGGTACAGTCTAAAGATGGCTGGGTACATTTTGTCTCTAACCTCTTGGGAAGGGCTTTAGTGCAGGCCAAGATCAGCCACCACTCATATAGGGTTAGGGGCTGCTTGGTAGGAGCTACAAAGTGATCTGCAGTTGTTTGTTGCTTGTGTAGTATTTGGTGGTGCTTGGGAGAGGCTGTGTTATGAAATGAAGCTGGCTACCACTTGTTCTCCTCTTTGGACCATTTTTGGGCACTACTGTGTGAGCCAGTGTCAGTTGCCACTTGCAGCAGGCTTATGGCTCCTTAGTGGAACTATTTATATAGGCCAAGACTTACTGCCACTCATGCCAGGTTCGACGCCACCTTATGAGAATTACAGTGCAAGTTGAGACTGATTGCACCTTCTGCTGGTTTAGGGGCAACTTTGCAGGAGCTACAATGCACACCAAGTCTGGCTGTTGCTTGTATAGAGTATATGGACCTCTGAGAGAGTCTGTAGCTCATCAGAGAGCAGCTGCCACTTGAATGGGATTTGCGGACTTTTGAGAAAGTCTGCAGTGCAAGGCTAGGGCAGCCACCACTCATGTCATGTTTGTGGTCCTGTGAGTGTTTCTGTAGCATGAGCTGAGCCAGGTCGCTGCTACGGAGGAGGTGCTGAAAGAGGCTTAGGCCCCGCCAGCATGTTAGGTGGGGCAGAGTCTCAGGGAATCAGCAGGGTGGGCCGAGTGATGTTAGCCAGGTTAATGGAGAGCATAGATTTGGTGCCTGCCTGTTCCAGGCCTGCTGGAAGGGAGAAATGCTCGACAAAAAACAATGGTGCCTACCAGCACTTCTGTCCTGGGAGAGAGTTGTCCCAACCCTGCCCCTCTAGCCCTCCACCTGAAGTTAGTCGATTTTAGTTTCTTCCTGTATGTTCCTGGTGCTTTTCAAGTTGCTGTCCCTGTGCTGGAACTTATTTAGAGCAAGTCAGTTTGTGCAAGTGGGTTAAAGATGTTGAACATCTTTAAGAGCAGTATGTTTTATTTCCCACAGCCATTTGTCTCTTTGGGATACAGTCCCCACTGGTTTTCTCAGCTAAGTGTTACAGGATCTCTTTCTGGTGCCCCAGCCTGGGCATCCCAGTGTGATACTATATCTTCTCTCTCCTCTGTGGGTCCTGTGCAGGTGATATATCCTCTTGTTTCTTCATTGCCATACACTGGGTGTGGGACCTGCACACCCAGGGTCTGTGTCTGTGTTTCTCCTACCAGTCTTGACATGGCTTCTTCTTTATAACCTTAGATATAGGAATTTTGTCCAGCTAGTCTTCAGGTGGTTTTTAGTGATCTTTTTCTATAATTTAGTTGTAATTTTGATGTGATTGTGGGAGCAGGTGATCTCATAGTTTAGCTTTTTTTTTTTTTTTTGACCAGAAGTCCTCATTGTTTTAATTTGTAATTCTCTTACCAGCATGTAATGTTGAACATCTTTTCATATGTTTATTTTCCATCTTATATCTTTTTCGGTTTGGTGTCTGTTCAGCTCTTTTTCTACTTTTTAATTGTGTTATGTTTTCTTTTTGCTGAATTGAAGAGCTCTTAGTATATTTTGGGTAATCTCTTTTAATAGATGAGTCTTTTGCAAATGTTTTCTTCTAGTATGTCTTATCTTTTTATTTAGAATGTCTTTTGCAGAGCAGTTTTTAATTTTAATGAAGTCCAACTTATTAGTTTCTTTATTTCTTGGTATTTCTTTGTATCTAAAAAGTATCACCAACCCAAGGTCAGCTAGATTTTTTCCTATGTCATTTTCTAGAGGTTTTATAGTTTTTTGTTTTAATTTATATCTGTGATTCATTTTGAGTTAATTTTTTTGTAAATTTTGTTTTACATTTTTTTAAAAGTATAAGATATTTGAAACAGGTAGGAGGATATAATGACCCATACATAAAGTAGCTATAAAATGGTTTTATAAAATATTAACATTTTACCTTATAAATCTATAGGTTATAAAATCAATGCAGTTAAGACCCCTGTAAGTCCCTCGTAATCTCATCCCTCTCCCTTTCTCAAAAGTAATCATTTTTATTTATTTTGTGTTTTTAAGATCTATGCATTTTTACAGTTTACTAAATATTTTGTTTTAAGTATTTTGTTTTAAAATTTCACAATAACAACATTATGAACATTACATGTATTTTAGCAACTTGCATATTTTAAAACCTAGCATTATTTTTACAATTTAGAAGATTATTTTAATTTATAGGAAAAAATATTTTAATTGAGAGCAATTTAATGTTAAAAATTAATTTATCATTAGTTGTAATTTTATCTTGGTTTTCTGTATTAGCATAGATATAGTTCTGACCTGAGGGTTAAAAATTTCAACCTTCAAATGTATCTTTAAACTTTATTATGGGATGTGTTTTTAGAGGCTTACTAAATAGATTCTGAAGAGCTATTTTTTGTTCTAGGATTTTTTTTTCCTTTGGTGTTCCCTAAAAAAATGGAGTCATTGTAGATTCTCTTTGCCAAATTATAGTGTATCTCCTTTTTGGGATGTTATCTTCAGCATTTTTATATGATAGGTGATGTGCTAGCAAGAGTATAAAAGGAGCTGAACTGATGGAGGTACAGAGAGCCACCTCAACTCCTAAATTCTCCATCCATGAAAGAGCAGACTGCCTGAGTCGTAAGTAGAAGAGATGCTGAATAAATCCCATTGACTATCCCCTTCTGAGAAACAAGTAAAAAGCTGGCAAAAAAAATGCAGGTGAAGAATCAAAAACAAAAGCAAACAAGCAAAAAAAAAAAACCACAAAAAAATTAAAGAAGATAGCTGGCAAGATGGGAGGCCTTTTTCCTGGAATAAAGGGTCGTTAGGACCAGAAAGATTGCATGGTGTGGTATAATCATTAGAAAAAAAGAAGAAAGAATTATCGTTATTCACAGATGATATGATGATGTACCTAAAAATCTAAGAAAATTACCTGAAAACCTGTTTGAAGTAATATTAAGTTACATTGTTGTTTACCAACTACATACACTGAAATCCATAATTTTTCAATATTCTAGCAATACCTAGTTAGAAACTGTAAGAAACTTAATAAGTAGAGAGATTAAACATGTTTCTGATTAAGAGGACTCAAAATTATATGGATTCTTTTCAAATCCATTAATTTAATGCAATTCTAGTCAGAAGTCTAACCAATGTTTTTGAGTTTTAGAGGTGGGATAGATAGAGAATTTAACAATATTTTTCTGAAATTGATTTAGAAGAATAAGTCTAAGAAAAAATTTTTGAAAGAATAAAGTTATGAAGTTGCATTTGCACTACCATGTATTAGAACATTTTTATAAACCTACAATAATTAAAATATTATGACTAAGAATAAGGTATAGTCCTGAAAAAATACTTATTAGTATTTGACAGTGATGTCATTTCAGTTCATTGGGAGAAAAACTGATTTAACAAATGATGCTAGAAAATAGGTTCAGAAATTGGAAGACTATAAAATTAGTTATACTTTGCACCTAAACTAAAATTTTAGATGGTTAAGATGATGAAATATTCTTATAATGGAATAGAAGAATTTGAGGAAATACATATATAAATAAATCACCAAGTAGTGGAGAAATCCTTTGCTATTTTAAACATTTAAGAAAAAACTTCTTCTGACACATGTATAGTTATTAGAGGAAAAATATAAGCAAAAAGAAGGAAAAGCCAAGAATTCCACCCAATCAGAGACCACCATTGATAGCATGTTGTTTGTATGTGGGAAGGTTCTTTTAAATGTAAAATGAAATGAAGAAACCACATATAAAAAGTGATTGATTTGCTGCACAAACACATAAATGTGTCAAATATCGTTAACAGGAAAAAAAGGGAAATGGCAACTGTGAACATACATATATGCCACATGATGAAAACTCAACACTTTTAATGCACGAACAACTCTTGTAAGTCAATAAGAAAATGAATACCTGAATAGAATAATGGGTAGTCATGAATAGGCAGTTTGTTAAGGAAAACATAGAAAAAACCAATAAACATGGGAAAACATTGTCAATATGAAACTGAAAATAGAAAAACAATGAGGTACTTTTTAAAAAAGTTGAGATATCTTTTAGAAACTATCAGATTGCTAAAACTTTAAAATTGAAAATGCTAGTGTGGAAGATAGTGCTTGGAAACAGCCATTGTCATTAACTAATAAAATTTATATTTTCCTCAAACTTTTCTATTAAAATTTTTCAATAGAATAAAATAAAAAGTATTGTATAGTGGCCATGTATTGCTGCTTATGTTCAGGAAAAAATATCAGCTCTTTTGGTAAAAAAGGATCCAGATACTCATTGTTGGTGAGGAAAATTGTAGTCTTGTATCTTTAGGAGTAAGATAAATTGATAGAGCCATTCTCTAGGACAGTTTAGAAAAATATGTTAAAAGCATTCATTATCTATATATTTTCTGACCCAATGATTTTACTTAAAATAATTTATCCTAAAGAAATGATCAGAGCTCTGCAAGAAGACATATATTCAAGGATATTTAGTATATACAAGGAATACCAGTGTATACCAGGATATTTAATGATCATGTAAATTTAGTAACAGCCTAAATATTCCAAATAGAAAATTGATTGAATATGCTATAGTGTATCTCTATAATGGAATGCTGTGTAAAAATTAGGAATGTTTTACCTGATAATAGTAAATAACAAAAGCAGAGTATAAATTTTAGATAACCCTGATCCTAGTTACTCATGCAATTATTTAGCCATTTCCTCATAAATACTTAATGATAACTCAGGCATTCTACCAGAATCTAGAAATAGAGCACTGAGCAGGGAAAAAACAAAACATGTCATTTCTTTGCCTTCATGGAACTTACAGTCTGGTCAGGAGAGACAGAACAATAAACAATTTGTCAGTTGCTTTGGAGACAAGTGCTTTGGAGAAAAATATAACAGGGTTAAAGTAGATAGGGAGTACCAAGGGAAGGGAGGGGGAAGATTGCTATTTTATATAAGGTGGGTCAGGGAAGTCTCTGAAAAATCACATTTAAATCAAGATCTGAAAAAAGCGAAGGAGAGAGTGAGAACAATGTTTTCTTCTGAGGGAAGAGTAT